ATACATACATACATACATACATACATACATACATACATACATACATACATAAATAGGAAGAGGTATGACATATGGCTATTAATGATAAACTAGCTTGTGATATTAAGTTTTACAAGGACTTGATAAACAAAAACATATTTAGAGATATTTGGGAAGCTTTTATTGACTATGAATTAATAGGGAAAGGCCATATGCCATTAAAAGTATCAGTGAAGTTTTGGAATGTAAATGGGGCATTTTAAAAGAAATAAATGCAGCATGACTTCAAAGGGGTCTGGTGGAGAGGGGCACTTTGTCTATGTATGTTTGTTTCTGTGTATGTATTAATTTTTTTAATTTTGTATTTTTTGTGTATTTTTAGATCAATAAAAAGTTTTTTAAGTAAATTAAAATGATGTGAAACAGGTTTCTGTGTGTTACCATTTCTGACGTGTAGAAATTGTCCTGTTTCTCCTATGTAGAGTGTAGATAGGCATTGTTGGCAAAAGATGGCATAAATAACATTGGTAGAGGAACAGATAACAGTATGTTTGATATTGTGTGTGACATTGTTAGGTCCAGTAATTGTGTTGACAGAATAAATGTGGGGGCAGAGCTGGCATCTGGATTCATAGCAGGGTTTTGTTCCCATTTTTGTCTCAGTGTTGTATAGCCCATTGCGTATCAGTAGTTGCTTGAGGTTGGAGGATTGTCTATAAGCCAGTATATATAGGTCTGCTGCCAAGGGCATGGGAGAGTGTTGTGTTCTTGTCGAGGATGGGTTGGAGATCACTTATGAGGCACATGAGTGGTCTCAGTTGTGGACTGAAAGTGACAACTAGTGGTGTTTGGTCATTTTGTCTTCTGGGTCTGTCTTGCAGTAGGTTACTCCTGGGTGTCCATCTTGCTTTGTTAATTTGTTCCTTAATCTTATTGGATGGGTACTATAGTCCAAGGAATGCATTTTGTAGCTCCTTGAGTTTGGAGTCTCTATCTCATGGGTCCAAGCAGATGTAATTGCATCTGAGGGCTTGACTATAAAAAATGGACTTTGTTCTGTGTTAATGATGGAAGCTGGAGGCAGGCAAGTAGTGTATTGATCAGTGGGTTTTTTGTATAGTATGGTGCTAAGATGTTGTAATTTTACTGTGGTGTCTAGAAAATTAGCCTGTTGTGTAGATTGTTCCAGAATGAGTTCGATGTTTGTATGAAAGCTGCTAAAATCCTGGGGTAATTTCACTAGGGATTCCTTTCCATGGCTCCAGATCAGAAAAATGGCATCAATGTACTTCAAACAGAGAAGTGGTTTTTGGGTTGAACAGTTAAGAAAGTGTTGTTCTAAATAAGTCTGTATTTTTATGCCATGTATTAATATCTGCCATGTTACCTCTCTCTCTTATTGCATCTGAAGATGTGGACTTATCCACAAAAGCTCTCATTATATATAACAGTCGTTAATGTGTCACCTAATTTTTGTTTTTTTAAAATTTGTTCCTTTATTTTAATTTTTTTTAACCTACAATACTTGCACAGACTAACATGTCTGCCTCTTCTACAACTTCTTTATTAAAGTGTTCCTTGCATAATTATGTTGTAAAACACTCAGAGTCAAAACAACAACTACTACAGCAATTTATTACCTTTCTGTGACAAGACAAGCCATCTGTGCTTATTTTTAATTCAAAGTTATTTTTAGTAAGCTTTTGTGTTTTTTTTCAACTTTAAATTATGAATTGAATTTTAAAGTGGATCAGATAATGGTGAAGAAGAGGCAGGGAGCTATGAGGGATTCTAAAAAATCAAAAGTGGGCAGTCATGCTGAGAATTTTTTTGTGGAAATGCTGGTAATGTAATTATCCTGTTTTACAGCCGTGGTGATTTATCACATGGTTAGGTAAAGGTAAAGGTTCCCCTTGACATTTTTTTTTTGTCCAGTCGTGTTCGACTCTAGGGGGTGGTGCTCATCCCCATTTCCAAGTCGTAGAGCCAGCATTTTGTCTGAAGACAATATTCCGTGGTCACATGGCCAGTGCAATTTAGACATGGAATGCTGTTACCTTCCCACCAAAGTGGTCCCTATTTATCTACTCGCATTTTGCATGCTTTGGAACCGCTAGGTTGGCGAGAGCTGGGACAAGCGACAGACACTCACTCCGTCGCATGGATTCAATCTTACAGCTGAAGATCTACAGACCTTACAGCACAGAGGCTTCTGCAGTTTAGCCCACAGCACCACCATGTCCCTTCACATGGTTAGGGATGCAGAAAAGAGAAGTAAGATGGCTCTTCCACTCAGCTTTTCATAGTTGTTCTCTGAGTTACTTAAAGAATGTACCCTCAAGAATCTAAAAAAGAAAAGAAAAAGAAAAAAACAACAGAAAGAGTCTAAAATCCTAGAATGATGAAGTGCT